CCAAGTAATATAGTCGTCACATTGACAATCCCACTATAAATGTCAAAATCACATCTTCCCTCTGACCAATTGATACTCAGCCCGGTTTCAAATCCCTTTTGTTCAAATCTGTTTGCAGGCAAACCCGAGTGACACAGACTGGTCCCACCACACCTTGAGCAACCAAAATTGACCAAAGTTGGCGTTAAAGAAGCATTCTAATTTATTACGACGTAAACTAACCGAAATCGTTCATACTGATTGTCAACAATGCCACTCTTTTTGGGCCTCAACTCCGACCTCCGCGCATCCTCCAATCTCTGCTCTGGGCCTCGGCAATAGGTCTGCCCATTTTCAAGGCCTCTGGATTGTTGAAAAGCCCGTTCAAACGCACCGGCATCATCACTCTGCCATTCGGTTAACTCAGCCTCCGAAGTGTCGAATGGCCATACCTGGCGGCCGTTGGAAGTTCGAGTTCTGCGATGTGCTGTCTCGACGTGATGCAGAGACTGCCGAAGACCTGCGCGACGATGCTGTCGGGTCAGAGGCGACCGGCCAGGCCGAGCGCTGAACCGCTCCGCTGCTGGTAGCCGAACCTCTGACGAGTAGACGTACATCTCGCCCGGAAGGTGGCGGTCCAGACGAACGCCCAAATGCTCCTCCAAATCGGACATTTCTGGGGTTCCAGAGAAGTAGCCTCTAGAGGCCAGTCGCCAGGCCTCCCTCTCTACCTCTCCCTCATCGTCATCTTCAACTCTTCTCTCCTCCTCCTCCTCATCCCCACCCTCCCCCTCCTCCTCCTCTACACCCCTTTTCTTCCGACCGATCCCCTGTGGCCAAGCCACCAGACAACCCTCACCTCTTCCGCCCCGCGATCTACTCCCATACCGAGGCATTCCGCCTCCTGGCCAAGACTCATCTGCCCCTTTCGGACCGTTAGGCCATGCCTCGAGAAGCTGATCCGACCGATGTGACTGTCTTGGTCGACTGTTGTAGAAACAGAGACGCTCGCCGTCATCACTGGGCGCTCCTCTTCCGGCCGATCGAGAGGGAAAGTGCGTCTGAAGGTCCGGAGCCAGCGAGGCTTCGGAGAGGTGACCGTTCACGGGGCCACAACCCCGTAGCCGTGATGAAGAGCCAGGACCTGAAGGGAAAAAAGACAATCAATCTCAAGGTACTGAAAGCATTAATTATTGACTAGTCATGCCCGAGAAGCAAAAATATTTGGTGGTGTTGTCAGGATGACTTCGAAGAATATATTTCGAACAACCGAGCCATAACTTAACAAATGGCAACTTGTGGGGATAATAAAGCAAGTTGTGATGAGGGATAATGACCAAATGTTGTCAAATCGCATAGCGCACTAAAGGTGCCCCGACAACAAAAGGAAGTTGCTGAAAAGAGGCAAGAATAATGTTACAAACGAAATACTAACACAGCTAAAACAAAGGCCCCACCATATTGGCCTTCATTCACGGTAAATAAATTAGGTTTCTGAACAAGATTGAGAATTAAATTATTCAAAACGCTAGACGAATGCTGGACAAGAATTATCCCAATACGATGCTAATATAACAGTTAAATTAAATAGTGCATTTTCATATCTGGGAAGATAAAAACCGGGTTAAAGTGTTCATAGAACAAATGTTTGTTGTCGAGATCAAAAATAAGAACCAAAGACTCAACTCACTCGACTGCAAGTAAATCCCGATTCAATTTGTAATTACGGTTTTATTCCCTGAATTTAAAGCAAAAGTAAATCAGGATTTCTCAAAGCATTGTTGGGGTTACTTCTTAATTTTGTGTGGAGATGCTTGATAAAGAGAGTTAAAGGTAGAACACACCAGAATATTGCGTTTTGGGTGACGCCAAGCAAGTGGCACCCTCCTTTTGTTCGACATAAAACTGGGTGAGCTTTCCTTCTTCATATAAACAGCATATTCAGAGTTAGGCCTTCCTCTTATAAAAGACCGCAAATTGTCATTTAATTCAAGAAGACTGGCAGGCTTTATTTTATACGCTATATATACTCACAATTGAAAATATTTAGAAATACATATAGTGATTTGTTTAGTATTCATCTGAAAGCTCAGACTTAGTATAATTTGCAAAATATTACGACAGTTGATGAAAACTGGAGAGGGATAACCGGCCTAAACTAGGTATCGTCAGATATCAGCGTTCAAAAGTTATAACTGCCCTTCGGGTTGATGAATTGCTGCCGAAAAGGTTGCTGAGGGTCAGGGACTGCAGATCGTCGTAGAGTAGGGGGCATCAAAGGATGCTAGATGAAGTTAGCCCAGCTCGCTAGCCCATGAGTGGCTTAAATCCCACTTTCTGTAATCCGTCTGATAAAGTTTCGACTTATTCTACATATCCATTTTCGACTTTAGTTCTAGTTGATATATGTCTTTCAACATTTGGTTTACTATTACTCGGAAATATCCATTTAGTTTTGTATGTCCACACACGCAGACATATAGAAATGCATGCACACAGATTTGCATCAATACAAAAAGATAATGTCACGTCTTATGATAAATAATTAGCAAGGAAAAGCAAATCTGATATTTGCCTTACATACATACATACATACATACATACATACATACACATACACACAAACACACATATATATACATACACATGCACACAAATATTCATTCTAATTTTAAATAAACTCAACACTTATCTATTACAGACAACTCAAGTCTTTCCTACCATGAAGCAGATCTCCAAAAAACTTGTCAGACAATTAGGAAAATTCAGCCTAGCTCGCCTATCATTATAGGGTCTAAAGAGAGAGTGAGAGTGTAAAGAGTGAGCAGTTGCTGGAGTGCCAGCGAACATGATGGGTGGGTTCAAATAAGGCCTCATAAAAGATAACGATATATAAACCCCAGATAGCAATGGAGGTGGTATCGTCAGGTACATTCATGACATAATTATGAGACAACTGAGGGCGAGAATACGACATCAAGTGAGTTCTGAGAGACCCTGTAAAAAGGACTATCAACCAATTGTCCGAGATGGAAAACTTTAATTAAGTCAGGATCAGTGTAAAATAAATGAGTCTTAGAGAAACTAGTAGAGAATAAAGTAATTTGTCAAACTCTTGGCCTCAAGCTATGATGAGTGAATTCGTGTAAGAAAAGAAATTGCTAAGACCAAGTGAACATGCACAATATTCAGTTTATTTTGGCCTTTTCGTGCAGACGTCATGGTGACTAGTTACCATGATGAAAAAATATGTAAGTGTTGAGCTTACTTCCATTTCGAGTAGAAGTATTTGGTGAAGAGATTCGTAAGTCGATTTCGCCAGAAGACGACGGCGGATTCATTTTGACCAGCCTAGTAGATTTTATAATTCCTTGCCTTCATTTTTAACTGAAATTTGACCTTAAAAAGGATGTCGACTCGACAAAAACACCGAAGTATAGTAAGAACAAGTTGAAATGAATAATATGTAATATAAAATATTTTAACTAAACAGGAAAACCATTCAATATATCGACGAAGCTATATTTATAGTTGCATTAAAATGACCTATCATCTCCCAATGTTTTATCTGGTAGAAAAACCCTATCTTAGGGTAAGAAGTAATGAGTGAGCCTTAAATTATGTCTAATGGTAGATAAACTACATAGGAAATTAATTGTTAAATCGCTATTCAAAAAACAAAATAAGTAATATAATTATATCAAAATAATGCTAAATGGTAGATTGGGTTTAGTTGAATTCTAAACATAATAAAACGGCTCTCAAGAGAAAAGAGCGTGGAATATTTGTCATGACTGGAGGCTAGGCTAATGAGGGGCACTAGATTGTTTGCTAAACTTCCGTCATGTACTTATCAACTAGTCCAGTAAAAGTGGACATCATTGAGAAGTGACAGAGTTAATTGGAATAGCCTTTCTTATGTATAAACATATGATGTGCGAGAATGCCCTTCATACATACTTAGGCTGATAGTTTTGAACTAATTACGTCATGGAATGCCCAGATATCCTTAGTTTTCGCAAAAAGCCAGCAACTATAAAAGGAGGCCCATCCAACAATGGTGCGATTAGTGATGAATTGGTATAATATCTATCTACTAGCAAACCTAGATTGATTCTGCTCAGAATCGGAATGCTAGTTAGAATATGCATATCCCGTGTGTGCATGTGTGTAACAATAAAACTATTTATATGTATATCACATCAAAAGATGGTGATTTCGTGCAAAACACCCCATTCGTTTCTAACAAATAGTTTACGGCCTTGACTAGATAAAGCACAGGCTTGGAGAGCAGAGCAAAAATGGCGTAAGCAGCATAGGACAGTCACTAGGAAGTTCAAGTTTTCGTTATAAGTAGGTTTTCGAGACTATCAGCATATCATATATATCAGGCGTATTCACCCAATTATGTTTAAGGTGATAAGGGACTGTTTGTTGAATTTTCCCACAATGATACGTATAGGCCAGATAATTTTGTTAAAATTCACATAGCCTTACTTGCATAAAAGGTATTATTATCCAGACTGGCTTGCATTGCAAGTTCGACCCCGCCTTAACTTATCAGCATCCCCAACGGGACTCGGGCCATGACAGTGCAGCGTATAGTCACGACACGGTAACTATTCCGCCACACTGCCACTGGTTCCTTCGAGTCACAGGGCGGATGTGGATTTCAACGAAGGCTAAGCGTTTTCCCATATCACATTCTATGGTGGGCGTGTCGATCAAGCAAAGTTATATTTGCTATAACAATGACCACATTACTTATTTTTCGTTTATAAGTAGAGTTTAGAGATGACCAATTTAAATGAAATAAGGTGAATTCACTTCATATATAAATGGAAGTACAATGTTGCAAGGTAGATCTGGACTGTATTGAATTCCTTCCAACTAACTTTCCCTTCGAAATGGAGAGTCATGCCATAAGTGTGGCGTAGTGTAGTAGATATATACGCTGCACTGTCATTAACATTTTTCAGATAGGACAGAGTAGAAAGTATCTGTAGCAGATATAAGCTAACACCACGTTTGGAGGAAGAGGAACAGCAGAAAGGCAGATTAATGTCGGCCCACCTGACAACAGACTTGGAAGAGTGAATAGGCCTTAGTCAAGAGAATCACCGGCACTCCACCATGACAAGAGAGGAGATGAATGGCTGAGACGAGGTGAAAAATGGCTGTGAAGATTGCCAGCAGGGCGGCGTGTCAAAGAGAGCAGAACAGAGGATGTCAGCAAGATCGAAGTAGACACAAATTAAGACTAAACTTCTAAAAGACTCAAGTCCAAATAAAAAAATTTGGCCCAAAGGATAGGTTTAAACGGGATTACTGAGTAAGAGGCTGTGGTCAAAAAGATGCCACACCACCAAGGCGCGCTTTGGGGTCGGCTCGAAAAACTACTTATAAAAACTACTGATTCATCCTCCAAACCGGATTTATCGAGAAGATTCAATTAGGTTGTCCTAAAAGTAGAGAAAGAGCTTGAATGGACCGATGAATATGACGTCAGCTCGTCAGCAGTTTGGACGCCATTTCTGTTTAGCAGGCTCCGAGTGTGAAATTAGACATAAGTATTAGCACCATCAGTAGAACAGTAAATCTTGAACAAGAGCCCAAATCATCCTGGACAGGTGGAGTCAGGTGAGCAAGTCCTACTACTTCTTTTCTTAGAAAGTAAGCTTCGGAATTATCTAGAAGCTAATTGGAATTGTTATTCAAGATTTATTGATCGTTTAATACCTACTTAATAGAAATATAAGTAAAGTAGTAGTTGCAATGGCAAAACACAAGTTTGACGCCGTGGTTTCTTTCATTTCGTTAGAAGAGGCGAGTGGAAGAGATTCGGTAGGTGGCCTCATCGGAAGCTGAAAAGGGATTGCCTCGAAGCTGTGACTTTAGATGTGTGCGAAAGAGTATTCTGCGGATTGTCTGATCGAATGTATATACAATGAATGTGATATAGAAGAGGTCCAGTTGTTCTAGAAATTTACATCTGTCTAGTGACCCAGGGACACTTTGGTATGATGGTAATTTATCGATGTTATACGCTGCATCACCCAGATTCAAGTCCCGCTGGTAGTCAAGGCTGTGGTCCACCCTGAACTAGATCATATTTTCGGAGGCAAGACCAAGTGAAAGTAATTGTATATAAGAGTAATTGAGTTTTGAAGAGCCTCCTGAGATAACATTGTTGTGGAGACTTTCATTTCGTGTGAAATCCAAACTATTACATATCTATGTCAATACATTTTCATTTTTTTGTTGTGAATATATACAAGCCTGATGGTATTTATGACCTCGTATTCACATGAGACTTTTACAAGGGTGAGTTCCAGCTCTAATCTTGTCTATAATATGATGGAGGAAAGCTCCGCTTATTTTCACCCGAAACGAAGCAGGATGCATCGTAAACAGCGTAAAACTAAACGTTATATTAAAGCCAAACGGCTTCAGTAGAACGGAAATCAGCCACCGCCTTCTGGTGAGATCAACCTACGAATCTCTTCTCCATGCACCTTAATACGAAATGAAAGTCTCCACAACAATTAAATTAATTGGTATCATGAGGCCCATTCATAGGATTATGGTAAAATTCAACTATAATCTTATGCGAACAAGGGTGACTGGATCTTCTGACTCGCCACTCCGGCACACAGACACAAGTGCCTGTGAGTCAAAGAAGGATCAGGTAAGAATTTCAAGGCGGGCAATGCCTCTCAAATTTTATTTATTTTAGGACTGGGGCCGATAAGGCGATTTTATATTTGAGATTTAACTTGATGGCACTACCATAAAACAAGCAATTTGTCTCCGAAAGTATCGGTGGATCTTGAATAGGTGCCTGAACAGTAGTGGAATTTCGCATAATGAAATGAGTTACCTTTAAGATACCCAAAAGGTTTACGCCTTTGTTACACCACTAACTGCATAGAAAGGACAAAGCGAGGCGGATGTGATTTCTAAGGCGAATTCACTATTATAATGGGTTTATTGAAGCAAGCACAAACTCGTATTTAACCTTAAAATTGCACAAATTACTCTAAGCCAAATAAGTAGTATTGAAACAACAATAAAAGAGACGGCGATATTCACTCAATGTCGTTTTGGCTAGGCTGTGCAGAGGAGAGTTATTGTGTAACCACGTCGTGGACAGGACGCGATTCAGAATCTTTTCAGAGCTGCTGATGGGACCCATGCGAGATGGAAAATAAAACCCAGACAGGACGAGGTCTTGAAGGAGCTTATTGTTGGAGTACCTTTTTTTCAAGACGCGAG